CTTGGACTTTTTTTTTTTTTTTTCTAAATAATCTGGTGGATTTTATTTTTTTTAAATTTTCATATGTTAATATAGTTTTTATTATTATAGTTTTAATCAATTTTGTTTTAATGATAAACCTTTGGCCAAAGGTTTGACATTATATTCTTTGTTATAATAGTGATTATTTTTTCCTCAACCAAAGAGTATGCCCAGTTGTTACATATTTCTTTCTCCAGTGACTATTGAAGTTTTGTTTATTTCTTATTTTTTATGATAGTTATAAATAGTAAAAATTATTTGGGTTATATATAACATTATTTTTGAATTAAATAAAATATTTTTTTGTTTTTTTTTTAATTTTTTTTTAATTTTTTTTTAATTTTTTTAAAAATTAAATTTTTATTATTTTTTTTAATTATATATTTTTTCCCTTTTTTAATTTTATTATAAATTTCGTTATATATATATCACCTTTAAAAATTTATGTTTTATTATAATAGTTTTAATTAACAGCAATAATATTACTAAAAAAATGAATAATTTAAATATAGATATTAAAAGTAATAGATATAATAATAAAAATAAAGGAATCGATGAAATTATAGATATATTAGCACTCGAGTTTCAACAGAAACCATTAGAATGTGATTTTTTTATTTCACTTTTTTATACTTCATTGTTTCACAGAAAAAACTACATACTATGCAATCCATTTCCACCATCATATATAGACCCAAGTAAACCTTTGAATACCCAAAAGAATTTTGATGCTTTAAAAATAGCATTTTCACAATTACCAGATGTACATAAATTATCAAGCAGAGGTAAGGATTACATTTTTATTACATAGTAAACAATATCTATATGGATATTTTATATTAACATAGTTATTTTAAACTAAAGATATTTTAGAAAAACTATCTCCACAATTAATACAGGCATTATATTTTATACTAAAGCCAGCAGATGGGATTAATGTTAGTTTTATGGATTATAGAAAGGTAATTAGATCTTATAAATTGCTTTTAATAGATTAGTAGTAGTGGTTATTAACTTTTTTTATTTTATTTAGTTTGAAAAAAAGAACGGCTTTTTAAAAGACTCACCAGACCATTTAAAAACATCACATAAACCATCATTTGTATTCAAAATCAAATATAAAAGTAATCCAGATATTAATAGTAATAATGGTGTTAGTCCTTTCAACAATATAAATTTTAATAGTTTAAATTTTAATAATTTAAATGAAGTTTTAAATAATAATGTAAATAGCTTTATAAACAATAGTAACAATAGTAACAATAGTAATAACAATAACAAGATAATAAATGAATCTCACAGTAAAAAGAATAAAAAATTTAAAGAGTTATCAAAAGAATACGGGACAATGCTCGGATATCATGGAAGTGCCAACGAAAATTGGTATAATATAATTAAAGGTAGAGGATTTTCACATCAATTTGTATCTGAGGAGTGTATTTTTGGTAAAGGCTTTTATTTTTCATCAGATAGCAAGGTTTCAACATCATTCATTAAATGGGGTGGTGCAAATAAATCACCATCAAATGAATATTGGTGGCCCAACTCAATGTGGTCAAAAAAGAAAATAGGATTTCTTTCTGCATGTACATTAATTAATAATCAATCAACTTTTCGTGGTATTGAGGTTAAAGCAACCAACCATAAATCATCACCACATATTTATTCCGACCAAGATCGTTCTTTACCTCCATACTATATATTGGCAAATAATTCTGAAGATATTCGTGTCAAATATATGTTGCTATTTAGCGAGGATACAGTTAAGCCAAAGTCAAACAATAACTCTAATGCCAGTAGTGTAAACTCACAAAGCAGTAGTAGCAGCAACTCTATTAAAAACAATAACCACACCAACAACAATGATAGCACCAAAACACAATTTAATAATAATACTGATAGTCAAACAACTACCACACCCACAAATCAAACCAAAGCCTCAGTTAATCTAGTTTTAATATTTATAATAATTGTATTGGCTTTAGCTCTTTTGATTAATTCATTTAAAACCTTTTCAAATAAAAGAAATCCTATTAGTCACAAAGGTGTATTTTATTAACCACCAATCTTTTATAAAATTAATCTGTATTTTTATTATTTATTTGTTTAATCTTTGAAACCATTATAGTAAAATAATCATCCATATCCAATTTATAACTATTATATTATTGATATATCCGATATACACAAAATAAACATATTTATATTTTTATAGTTTTTTTTTTTTTATTTATTTATTTTTTAGATATAAATTAAATAAATAATTAAATTTAAAATAAATTAAATTTATTCCTATTGTTATCCATTTACATTATTATACATTTTTTAGATTTTTTCTTTCTTCTGTTATTTGTACCAGTTCCGGAACTATTATTATTACTATTATTCTGATTTATATTATTATCTTGATTAGTATTATGATTATTTACAGAGTTATTGATGTTTATATTAATATTTTCATTTTCATTTGAAACGTTTACTTGTGAGTTTGTTGTGGTGGTAGAGGTTGCTGTAGCTGTTGTATTTTCATTTATATTATTATTTACAGATGAATTGTTGTTATTATCAGTGCCAATCTCTGGAACGACAATGGTTAATGGTATAATATCTTGTTCATGATGATTTAATGGACTATTATTACCAATGTCTGATATTATATTTGGTGAAGAGCTAGATGTATTGGTATCTTTAATTTGTTCTTGGTGATAAACTAAACTATCCCCTGTAGTTGGTGAATCTGAAATGATAATATTGGTTTTAACAGTATCGTCTTCATTTTTAATGTTGTTTGGTGTATTGAGGGTTGTTGTAGTTGTAGTGGTGGTGGTTGTTGATGATGATGATTGATTATCTTTATTTGGTTCCTCTTCAGCAGGATCATCTCCATCCTCTTCATTTTCATCGCTATTATCTTCATCTTCATCATTATTGTCGTCCTCTTCATCGTCGTCCTCCTCTTCGTAATCTTCTCTATCTGAATATTCTAAAAAGTCCATATCAATGGATTGGTTTTGTCTTTTAATTTTTTCGACATATTTACGATGTTCATCTGGATTTGTGTCTGGATGAGGAATTGTAATATGACTTGGTTTTAATTTATTTGCTTTTTCTACAAGCTTAGCACATCTTTTTTTATATGATTCTTTATTAGTTCTCCATTCAACAGACGCATCAACATTGGCGGGTGATGAACAATTTGGATCACTAAGAATTGACATTAAACTTAATATAATTGTTGATACACTTTGGGTTGGTAACCATCTTTCTTGTGGTAGCTCACCACTTAAAACATCTTCCCCAGGTGGATGTAAGATTGAAATACAAACCCTACCTTCTCTAACATAAACATTTGGGTGCCAAAATTCTGAAATAAATCTTAATGTGGGTGGGTTCATTGGATAATCTCTTGGAAATGATAATAATAACTGAAACACTCCCCCTTCATAATATGTATCCTTTGGACCTTCTAAATAAACCTAAAAATAATTTTATATATTGACATATTAATTTTATTGTTTTTTTTTTTCTTTTTTTTTTTTTTTCTTTTTTTTTTTTTTCTTTTTTTTTTTATTATTTATATTATTTATTATTAAGGCAACTCTATTTATTTAAATCAAATTTATTTATATTTATATTATTATTATTTAATGATATAACTAATGGTGAAGATGTATTTGAGCTGGAGGTAAAAAGAGGTGATGGTGGTGGTTCGTCAGTTGGTGGACGCATTGATGGTGAATAGTTACTGATAACTGGTGAATTACTAATGAATTTAGTTGATAATAATGTTGTGTTCATTTTTATATATATGTTTGTGTTTGTGTTTGTGAAATTATATTAACAACAACAAAAAATAAATTATTTATAGCTTTTTAATTTAACAAAAAAATAAATGAAAATAAAATAATAAAAATTATTTAAAAAATTTTATACAACAAAATAAAATAAATTAAGAATAAAACAAATTATCTATTGTTAAAGATTGTACAAAATTGTTGAAGAATATGGGTGTGTGAAAGACAAAACCAAAATGTAAAGTGTGTGAGTTTTGTTAAAGCTATTTCTTTATAGTGGAAGTTTATACGCATGCGTTGTATTATATATGTAAGAGATGTGCCTTTATATATTATTTTTATTTATTTATATTGTATTTTTATTATTATTGTTATTATTGTTAATATTAAGGATTATTTTTTATTCATTGCCTCTTTATTATCCAAATTGTTTTTTTATTGTGTGTTATTTTTATTAATTTAGAAATTGATACTTTACCTTCCACTCATATAAAGACGACTCATTAACCAATTCAACTGTAAAACCCTCTACTGGGTCATTCATTAAACCTAAATTTTATATGAGCAAAATAAATTAATTGTTAATGCCTGTATGTTAAATTTCTTTAATAAGAAAAATTGTTTTTAAAGATTTTAAGAGAGATTTAATTTTTGAAAAATTCATTATTGGTTTATTATGTTTTGATATTTTATGTGAGTGTGTGGATGTGCGTGTGTGCGCATGTGGGGTAATGATACATTCCCTGTGGGAGACGGGACATATAAAAATATTATCTATTTGTTTATTTAAACTATTTAAGTATTTCTATCTATAAAA